TTGAGGTTTATAAATGCTTGGTAGAGATCCTGAAGCTTCTGGTCTCTGTCAGTGGGATTAGAGCAGATGCGGTTTTATCGAAGGGCTTGGCTATAGACGATGGATCGTATGGTGTGTTCTGGATGGGAGCTTGAAGCATGTAGGTAACTGTATGAGTCAGTGGGTTTTCTGTAGAGAGTGGTGTCTAATTTTCCATTGTTGATTTGTACTGTGGTGTCCAGGAAGTGGACCTCTCGTGTAGAATGGTCCAGGTTGAGGTTGATGGTGGGGTGTAGGTTGTTAAAATCTCTGTGGAATATCTCCAGTGTTTCTTGGCCATGCGTCCAGATCACAAAAATGTCATCGATGTAGCGTAAGTAGAGAAGGAGTGAGAGGGGACGGGAGTTGAGGAAACGTTGTTCTAGGTCAGCCATAAAGATGTTAGCATATTGTGGGGCCATGCGTGTACCCATGGCTGTGCTGCTGATCTGGAGGTATAAGTTGTTCTCAAACTGGAAATAATTGTGGGTGAGAACAAAGTTACATAGGTCTGCTATCAGGTTGGCAGTGGTGTCCTCTGGGATAGTGTTTCTAATTGCTTGTAATTGCTTACGCTACATCGATGACATTTTTATGACACAGAAACTATCCACTGGAGAATGAACAAAGGGAGAAAATCACAATTAATGGGTAGGAATGTATTGCACTGGGGTGGGAAAACAGTGACAAATCTGACTGTACACATTTCTAAAACATAGATCATCCTGGTTCAGACTAAATAATTGGACTCTGTTCCTGCTCTCCTCGGTGTCGGGCCTGATGAAAGGAGCAGCTGCCATGTGGCCTGGCAATTCCAAGGGATCCTAGAGGCCTGGCTGTTGATGCCACTACAGCATCCCTTAAATCGCTGCTGGGCCCTGCTTGGCATGCTGGACAGCCCCGGGCAGCATGCTCCATACAGGCAGGGCATGCTCCGAGTGGTGTTGAAGATAGGCTGCCCCCTCTTCCACCTGAGGCCTCATCCCTTCTGAGAGTGCGGAGTCAGGTCCCCCTCCCTTGCCCAGGGGCCTTGTGAGTCTGTTGGCTTGTCTGACTCTTACAGTAGCATACCGAGGAAGTGCATGATATTAGAAAGTTGTGGGGAATTGAGCAATATGTTATCACTATTCACATGTAATACCATTCTGATTGCTTGTGAATTATAACAGTCAGCCTGAAAAAGGATGTACTGCTCACTTGGAATGTCATGTTTGAAATACATAAACACTCGAGTTTTACAGCATTGGCTTATCTGTCTAATTCCAGAGCCATTGGAACACATTTTAGGTCTTTAGTACTGAATCCAATGAGACCTCTGTAGTATGAACTACTAATGTGCCTCTGAAGGGGGCTGATTGACTTCAGTAGGAGCAGAATCAGGTCCTATACCAATCAGGTATGCAGTAGTTAAAACACTGTCTATATCTCACCCACACTGTGAGTAAGACATAATATTATACAATGGCTTAGTAACTCATAGGCCAACCTGGAAGTATTGTATTACACAGGCCTCTTATTTGTATTCCTACAGATGGGGCTTCACCCGGCTGACATTGCCAGTGAGAAAACTCATTGAAGCATGATTGGTCTCTAAGGTATACCATCCTTAAGCAGTGGTAACTGATACTTCTTTCAGCCTTTTTTTAAAAACAAGCATATTTTTCTGCCAATTAATGCACCATCTGATTCACAATGGAGTTTTCAGGTGAAGGTTTTTCTACTTAAAAAACAAGGAATAGTCTAGTAGCACCTTAAAGACTAATAAAACGTGTAGATGATACTATGAGCTTTCATGGGCACCACTCACTTCTTCAGATGAGTGGAGTATTGAAATTGAAATACTCCAGTCATCTGAAGAAGTGGGTTGTGCCCACGAAAGTTCATGATACCATCTACATGTTTTGTTAGTCTGTAAGGTGCTACTAAACTATTCCTTTGTTTTTAAGTTTTTCTAGTTATAGACTAACTCGGCTACCCCTCTGAGGTGTTTATACTGTTACTTTTAACCCTATTGCGTGTATTGTCATTGTGCCATGGGCCAGTATCCCAAAACAAAGCAATGGTTCCTGCCAGAAGGGTTTATAATGGCTATGGGAAATCAATAATAGTGAGTGGGCCACATGAGTGGCCCTCCTTCATCTCAGTGGGCCCCATGACTAGTGTGGGAGGGGTGTGAGCTGCAACCGTGGATCCCCTGCCTATCCCTCTTCCCCACATGCCTCCTGTGTACTGGAGCACTGTAATCTCACACTTCCTGCTCCTCGCTCTGCCTCCCAGCACTTTCAGAGTGTCATAAATTGCCTGATTTGTGCTCTGTCCCTGCCCCTTCCCCTCTCCTCCTCTCAGAGCTTGAACAGCCATCAACAGCTGATTTGCAGCATTTCAACTCTGGGAGGAGGGAACAGGAAGGAAGGATTCATGGTACTCTGAAATTGCTAGGAGGGAGGGGGAAGAGTAGAAAGTGCAGAGCTCCAGTGTGTGAGGTGTGGATGGGGGAGGAGGACAGACAAAGTGGGTTGCAGGTGGCCCACCACTGGTTTATAGTATAAGACAAAAAATAACATATAAATACAGAAAGACTGACATGATGTGACAATCCAGAATGACAGGCAAAGGTCTCAGCATGTGTAGGCGTAATGATAAAGGGGAGTTTTAAGGAGGGACTTGAAAGAGAATACTGTGTTAGTTTTGTGAATATTTATGGGGAGCTCCTGCTATGCAAGGGAGTCTGCATGGGAGAAAGCATGAAGGTGCTTATTTTAAATTTCACTTGTTGGTTAAAAGGATATTTTCATTTAACCTGCCAAGATGACTGCCAAAATGGTGTATATGTCTTATTTTGTAAGTTAATTGAAATCTCCAGTGAAGAAGACATTATAATGCCATTATGTACTTTAGCCCATACATAATGCTTTGCATGTTGCCTTAGTATGTACAAGACATACCAAAGGTTCAGCCTTACAAACCCACAAAATTGAGATCATAGGGACTACTTCTGAGTACATTTTACTGATGTGTGTGACTGGGATCTATGATTATATTGTACACATTATTTAGGATCAGATTCTCTGCCTGTGTAATGGATAACAGTTTCACTGCCTTCAGCTGAGTTGTGGTCATTTACACCGGGAATTAATTTGGCTCTGTAAAACAAAAATGCATTTATGATTTTATTGGTTTATGATGGTGCATACATATCCACGTGTAAATCCCCAGCCCATGACTATCTTGTTTTGCAATGATAGTTTTTAATTATGCTACTTTGCTTTTTGGAAATTCCCTGCTCTGGCTTTCCAGGAGAGAAGAGACAATGCGATAGCTATGTTGTCTGTTTTTTCACCTCAGAGGGAGGCAACCAATTAACAGATTTCCTCAAATTACTGCCAACATGAAATCTTTTTAAGAAAATTAAAAAGTTACTTTTTTATTTCAAGGAATTCTGCCAGGTTTTGGAAACAGTGCAGATGCAACTTAATTTTCATTAATGATTTTCAAGGTATTTCTCTTTTATTTATTGCCTGGTTAGTTTTATGCTGAGCTGTTGTCACAATATTACGATATTTGACACAACAGATAAATATGTGGCTGCTGTCCCAAGGCCCTCTTGAAAACATGCTTGTCAGAGTTTGTACGTCCAAATTGGCTCTGTTTTAGCTTACGTATCAACTTAATATGGCTTTTGTTTTTGAGGACAGACTGTGTACATAAGTGCACATAGACTTGTGTTTAGACACCTCTTCCATCTCTAACTAATCTAAACCATCTTTGAAGGAATCATCCACCTTTCTGCCACGTTCTTAAGCTAACTTTCATCGAGTTGCTCCATAGAGTCTGATGATATTTTTCAAAATCCAAACCAGCTGCACTGTTCTGAGTTGTCGGCAGACTGATAAATCAAGATTCTTTTAACTTGGTTAACTGAGTGGAATGTGTCTCTTCTGGAGGAACTGTCAGTTTAACTAGCAAATATACTCAGTCACATCTGGGCCAGTCTGATTATTTCTGCGGGAAGTGTTTTCGAAAAGAAGAGAAGGAATGTGCCTTCTCTTCTTGGTATTTTTTATCTACCTTCAGTTCCAGTCTTTGACATGAATGAAGAGTGTTATCACATCACTACTCAGTCTTCTTAGAGAGTTGTAATCAATATCCAATGAGATGCCCCATGGTTGGTTTAAGGTAAGGAGAAAATTTTGGGGCTCATTGTGATGGAGTTGTTTTGAATAGGGCAAGCTGCCAGCAATAAGCAAGCTCTACTTAAACTCTTACTATTTGGATGGCAATATTTCATCATTCATTTTATAGTGCTGAATCTCCCTTTTTGAAGCAACACTCTCATTTCATAGATTTCTTTAATCTTTCTCAGTCTGGGCTGAATTGTTTGTGACAATATTTGACTAAGGGTGTGTCTAGACTACTGAGTTTTGTCGACAAAAGTGGACTTTTGTCGACAAAACTATACCTCCGTCTACACTACCGCTGAGTTCTGTCGACATAATGTCGACAGAACTCAGCAGTTTTGTCGACGCTGGTAAACCTCATTTTACGAGGCATAACACCTTCTGTCGACAGAGTTCTGTCGACAGAAGGTGTTATTGCCTGTAGGGTTGCGTCTAGACTACAGGGTTTTGTCGACAAAGCAGCTTGCTTTGTCGACAGAACTAAATGTGTCTAGACACTCTATGTCGACAGAAGTTTTGTCGACAGATACTGTCGACAAAACTTCTGTCGACGAAACCCTGTAGTCTAGACGTACCCTAAGAAGGAAGTGATGCTTAACAGACAGGGGAAGCATTTAGGAATGGATGGAGGAGATACCTGCACCAAATATTGAGGGTATATGCCCTCCAAAATAATTCTAAGTCTTCTAATCCAATGCAATCCATCACTGTTCTTTAAGTTTGCAGTAGTGTGGGTATCGATGAAAAATCCAAAATTTGCCAAAATTTCCTTGCTGTGCTACCTAAAATATCAACTTTTTCACATACTCAAGACAAGAAATTACTGTATGGTATCAGTGGGCAAATGTTAACTTTTTTTAATAGTCAAGTTCACTGCAACCATGATTTGCAGTGCCTTTCAATAGCAGGCTGTGTCCCTTTATCTCTAACATAAACCTTATACCTTTCATGCCTTTCTCGCCAGGCCTAATGTGTTTTATCAAAGATATCCTTCAAGTCTTTCTGTCAACTTTAATTAGTATAGAGCCATAGTTGCCTACCTGATAAACAGGAAATACTGCTGAGAGTCAACACACTTATAGAAACATAGGGCTAGAAGCAATAATGAGAAGCCATGAAGTCCAGGCCTCATCCCATCCTCTTTGGTGAGGCAGAAGCAAATACACCTAGACAATCCTTGATAGGCAGGCCCACCAACAGGGGAGAAAAAGAGGATACTTGCTCCAGGGCCTGGCGATTCAGAGAGGCCCAGGTCTGTTTATCTCTAGATATCTTATCTCTGTGCCATGCATTCCAGGTGTTAAGATGGATGGTGGGAGAGGGGCAGCGGAGGAGGCACACACCACAGCCTGGGTAGCTGTGAGGATTGATTGCCCCCACCCTCATCCCTTCCACTTAAGACCCTGCCTTTTCTGGGAATGGGGAGGCTGTTGGCTTCCCTGCTGACAGGTGTTTGTACAACCTGTTCTTAAAAGGCAGGGATTCCACAGCCTTGCTTGGAACCCTATTACAGTACTAAACCATCCTTATAATACTAGCCAATTAGCCTGTCATAAGACGGGATTTTCAGGTCTCTCCTCCATGTCGGTCTTCTCTTCTGAGCCTCCGGTCTCTCGCTCCGTCTCTCTCTCTCTCTTCCTCCTACGGCCTCCCGCCCTGTCCCCAGCTCTCCTTCGCCTTCTGCATCTCTCTCTGTCTCTCTCTTTCTCTTCTCCTCCCCCTCCTGCCTCTTACTCGGGGGATCGCGGAGCCCAAATGTCCTTTTGGGCTCCGCACTCCCCGTGCTGCATGGGGAGCATGGAGCCCAAACGGTCGCTTGCGCCACTTACTCCCATACGGCGGCCCGGCTGAGCGGCGCAGAAGTTAGCTGAGCACCACGGTGGGAGGTGAAGTGGGGCGGTGACGTTCACAGCCAGGGGGCAGGGCCTGGAGCCACTGTCACGCCACACATCACTGCCCCAGCCCCCTTCTCCTCCCGCCATGGCGCTCGGCTGACTTCTGCACTGCTCAGCTGGGACACCACGGGGGAGCAAGCGGCTGTTTGGGCCCCACACTCCCCATGCAACACAGGCTGCCCAGAGGGAACAGCCAGCATTTCAGGCAACAGCGCCACCCAGAGGGAACAGCCAGAATTTCAGGCAACAGCGCCGCCCAGAGGGAACAGCCAGCATTTCAGCAACAGCGCAGCCCAGAGGGAACAGCCAGCATTTCAACGTTACAGACTCACAGACCCTGGGCTACTATATATATGATGAACGTTTTCATAATATCCAATATAAATCTTCCTGGCTGCAAATTAAGACAATTACTTCTTGTCGTATCTTCAATGGATACAAGAGAACAATTGGTCACCCTCCTTTTTATAATAGTCTTTGACATGAATGAAGAGTGTTATCACATCACTACTCAGTCTTTTT